CTGCATGTCTGCCTGCTTGTCTGCTTGTGGTCTCTCTGTCTCTCTGTGTCAAATAAATAAATAAAATCTTAAAAAAAAAAAAAAAGACACATAGTTACAAGTCAGGCTTCCTAGGTGTATGTCCCAACTTTGCATGTTACTGCATGACCTTGGGCAAATTATTTACCATCTCAGGCCAGTTTTGCCATCTGTAAAATAGAGGTAATGCTAGTACACACCTCAAAAGTGGTTGTGGTGATTAAATGAGCTAAAATATGTAAAAGTGCTTAGAACCATAGTATAGTAATGACTCAATATATAACAGCTATTATCATTTCCTCCTTGAATTGAGTATTAGTAGAAACTGCTAGTTGTTCCCTGTAGGAAATCTTTTTTGTGTTCCCTTTCATACTGACCCTTGAAATGTGACTTTGCATTGGGACTTAGATGAAGGTATTGCCACTTATCTTCTCTTTCTAAAAATATAAAATTTTTGTAATGAAAAATTTGATTAGCATCTCTGGATTTGGAAGCATAGAGGCAAAGGGACCTCCTCCATCTATATTAGTCTCCCTCCTCTCACCAACTTCAAGTTGGTACTTAGGGTTGTTTTCCAAACTTATTAGTTAATAATTTGTCCTAATCTTAAAGTAAAACTTTTAAGTTGTATTTGAAGTTTTATTAGGTGCTTATTACTTTGATGTCTCCTTTGGACTCCATGAATCTGTTATTCATTTAAAATGCCCTCGTAAAATAAATAATAAAATAAATAAAATAAAATGCCCTTCTACTGGGCCACCTGGGTGACTCAGTCAGTTAAGTGTCTGACTCTTGATTTCAGCTCAGGTCAGGATCTCAGGGTCGTTAGATTGAGCCCCATGTGGGGCTCCACACCAGGTGTGGAAACTGCTTGAGATTCTTTGTCTCCTTCGCCCCCTTCCCCTTCCCCTGCTCACACACGTGTGTTTGCACTCTCTCTCTCTAAAAATAAATAAATAAAATAAAATGCCCTTGTACAAAGTTTGTTACCTTTCCAATTGTGTGGTGGATTGCTTTGTCATTCCTGGTCATTTATAACCCATACTTTCTTACTTCTGTGTCTTTGCTTGTGCTGCTCAAACTGTCTAGACTATTTTTACCCCATTTTGTTTCCTCTATGTTCACATCTTGATCTAGGTGGTAATTACATGAGTAAATACATACATAAAAATTAACCTATTTAAGATTTTTGTATTTTATGTATGTAACATCTCAATGATATTTTTAATTCCTTTGTGGTATAAATAGAAAAATTTTTTTACTTTGAGCAGATGTTAGAAGTGCATTATGTAAAAATATATAGTGCAGAGTTGGACTCCCTATTCCTGGAATGTTGCTGATTATTAGTCCAATAGGTCTTTGTTATTTCTGAGTTATTACCCAGATTAGAAAAAGATATAAAATGATAACTTCTATCAGCAATATAACATGTTACTATAAGAATTCGTGTATCTTTACTTTAAAAGTTATTTTTGTTGAAGAATGTTTAAACCACCAGACAGAAGATAATGTCAGATTATCATTGAACTTGAAAGAGTTGTTCTTTATTTCATGAGACATTCTTATGTCATATCAGAGGTTTTATGATATGACATAAAAAATTAAATTTCTGTAATTCTTGTCACTCACCACACAGTTACCAAAATGTTAATTGAATATTTGCAAAACATTTCAAAATCTTTTGATTTTTTTACACCTAATGTAATTGTATTGCTTTACAGGTGGCAGAAGATTTTTTCATTTACTGTCTGGGGTAAAATTGCAACTTTCTGGAACAAAGCTTTCCTTACTATAATAGTCCTATTGATTGTTCTATTTTTAGGTAAGTACTGGATTCCTCTTTTGATTAGGCTTAACTCTGGGGACTTTTTTTTATTAATGAATTCATTGGGCTTTTAATTAACTAAGTTGATATTGCTATTGTAGTACAGTAGGCAGGAGCCATCCTGGGATAGCCACCGTGTATGCCACTGTTCTCTGAGAAAATGTTTCCCGTGCTCTATACCACCAGCCTCTGAGATGAATTTCTTTTTATAAAACTGGGAACAGCTGGTGTGAGAAGGTATGAGTAGGCGATTGTGGGATGTGATGTGAATGGGTTGTGAATGGGTTCATGCCTCATTTCAAAATGTCAGTATTTGTCTCATGGTGTGCTATTGTTATCAAGTAAATCTCCAGCCATGTAAGAAATAACACTAAACAATTAAAGGACAATAAGAAAAATGAGTCCCAACTCTACCATCAACTAACTAAATGCCTTTTGGAATGGCATTTCATCTGTCTGAGTTTGGTTTATCCATTTGCAAAACAAAGCGAGAAAAGGCAATCATTTCTGCAGCTTCTTCTGGCTCTAGAATGTGATCTTTTTTTTTTTTTTAAGTATTCTCTACACCCAACGTGGGGCTCAGACTTATGACCCCAAGATGAAGAATCGCACACTCTACCAACTGAGCCAGCCAGGCACGCCTGTAGTATTATGATCTTTTAACTCTAAAATTATCACAGGAATTTCTACCGAAAACTGCCACATATCCATATAAGGAAGGGAAACGGTAGTACAAGGTTTTTTTGGTTACATATATCAGAAACCAACTGGAGCTCACTTGAGCAAGAAAGGGGAACTTAAAATAAAATACAGAGTTGTTGTACAGCAGCTCAGGGAAGGAAGGAAGCCAAATTCCAGGAAGGGACTAGTCTTAGGAACTGAAGTGTCCTTTTCACGTCCCTTCATTGCTCCATGGGTCTACTTCATTCTTCCTTATCCCTATGGACTCTGTTCTCAACCATATAGCTGTGGGCACCATATAGCTAGCTGCCGAGTGTCATCACTCCAGCCGTATGCAAGGATTAACTAGCCATTTCTGAATCCCAATTCCAATTATAAAGAAAATAAATGAGCCAGCTAGTACTAAGTATCCAACCTTTGTCTGGTAAGCTATGGCCAGGGATAGGAGTCACAAAGCAGAACCATGACCTCTAGAACCTACTTCTGTGGGCAGAGGGGGTAATTAATTCTCAGAGAATAGGGACATCATGGATGGTTAAAACAGGACCTTTGACCTTGGATAGTAAGGGCAGGCAGATAGGGACCTATGCTTTAAGCCTCAGTGTTTCCATCTCAGACTAGGGTAATTACACTTGCTCCACTGAGGTGTTCAAAGGTTTAAATGCAGTAGTGAATGTAAAATACACAGTCCAGTGTTCTTATCCACCAGAATGACAATGGTGTAAATTATGGAAAACCAGTAATTACTCAAGTTTCATTTATATTTTACTTTCAAATTTATTTCATTTTTCTTATTGGTTGTTTAATAATTAATTAATTATTACAAGGTGTTCGTGTTCCTGGAGCCAGTACTGACTGAACGTATGTGCATATGTGTGTTTTAAGGGGTGAGAATAGGCAGAAAGGAAGCAGGAAACCCAGGAATATGTTTAGTGTCAGCAGAAATGCATCCCAAGAATTTGAAAGGTTCCACGAGTGATCCCAAAAAAAAGGCTGTCTCCATGTGGTTTCTAGAAAACTGACCATACGTCACACCGCGCCCATATGATTACCCCTGTTTCATTTTTCAGACATAGTTTCCTTGCTTTAATACAGGTGTTTTTATTCTGTAGGTGGATTTGTATGGCCATTTACATTTATAAACTTATTTTGATATTATTGATTCATCTTCAGCATTTCTGCATAATGGATCCAGGAATATTTTTATTTAAAAGCCAAAGAAGCTGAGTAACAAGCATAAGGATCCTTCATATTATTATGTGGCTTCTTTGGCCTGCTTAAAATAACTCATAAATACCATTGTGTTTGGGGTTTTTTTAGTTGTCTCGTGCTGGTTGGTATGCTCTTACTATATTATTGTGGCAATCTGAGAAATAAAAGAGGAAATAGCCATTAAGATCAAGAAAATTTTTTAAAGATAATTTAAAACACTGGGGTACCTGGGTGGCTCAGTTGGGCTCCATGCTCAGTGGGGAGTCTGCTTCTACCTCTGCCCCTCCTCCTCCTTGTGTGCACCTGTGTGCTCTCTCTCAAATAAATAAAATCTTTTTTTAAAAAAGACAATTTCAGGGCACTTGGGTGGCTCAGTCGGTTAAGCAGCTGCCTTCAGCTCAGATCATGATCCCAGGGTCCTGGGATCAAGCCCCACATCTGGCTCCCTGCTCAGTGGGGAGTCTGCTTTTCCCTCTCCCTCCATGTGCTCATGCTCTCTCTCTTTCTCTCTCGCTCACTCTCAAATAAATAATGAATCTTTTAAATAAATAAATAAATAAGACTTTCATATACCTCTATGCAAATAATTTTGAATACCTAGATGAAATGGATAATTTTGTAGAGAAATATAACTTACCAGATGAATTCTAGTAGATACAGAAAATTTAAGCAAATTTTCCATAGAAGAATTACAGAAAGTTAAAAAAAAAAAGCTACTCCCATCAGAAAAGAATAAAACCAGATAGCTTTGCAAGAAATTCTACCACTTTGAAAAAACAGACATTACTTTTTTCTTCTTCTTTTTTTTATTATTATGTTAATCACCATACATTACTAATGCTGCTTAAACTGTTCCAGAATTTAAAGAATTTAAAGAAATTTATGAAGCTAGAGAAAAGAAACTCTCTAATTGAAAATAAACCAAAAAAAATTAAACCAAATAGAACACTGGTAACATGCAACACAGAGAAAAAAATGTTCACAGCAGCATTAGTCATAATAGCCAAAAAGTTGAAACAGTCCAAATGTCTTCAGCTGACAAATGGATAAACCACATGTGGTATATCTGTACAATGCAATGTTATTCAGCCATAAAAAAATAACAGCATACTGCTACGTGGTACAACACAGATGAACCTTGAAAACATGCTAAGTGAAGGAAGGCAGACACAAAAAAAAACACATAGTAAATGATTGCTTTTATATGTCCAGAATAGGCAAATTCATGGAGACAGAAAGTAGATTGGTGGTTGCTAGGAGATGGGGGAAGGGCAGAATGGATATGGGGTTTCTGAGGGGGTTGATGAAAATATTCAGGGGGCGCCTGGGTGGCTCAGTCATTGGGCATCTGTCTGCCTTTGGCTCGGGTCGTGATCCCGGGGTTCTGGGATCGAGCCTCACACCGATGTGAGGTTCCCTACTCCGCGGGGAAGCCTGCTTCTCCCTCTCCTACTCCCCCTGCTTGTGTTCCCTCTCTTGCTCTGTCTCTCTGTGTCAAATAAATAAATGAAATCTTAAAAAAAAAAAAGAAAAGAAAATATTCAGAAATTTGTGGTATTGGTTGCACAACTTTGTGAATATACTCAACACCACTGAATTATATACTTTAAAGGGATAAATTTTAAGGTATGTGAGTTATAACTCAATAAAGTTGCTATTAAAATTAAATAGGGGCACCTGGGTGGCTCAGTCGTTTAAGTATCTGCCTTCGGCTCAGGTCATGATCTTGGGGTCCTGGGATCGAGCCCCACATCGGGCTCCCTGCTCAGCGGGGAGTCTGCTTCTCCCTCTCCCTCTGCCCCTTCCCCCTGTTCGTGCTCTCTTTCACATGCTCTCTCTCTCTCTCTCAAGTAAATAAATAAAATCTTTAAAAACTAAAATAGTTTAAGTGGCCTCAGTTTTCTAACTGGAATCTCTTTCCTGTGGCAATAACTCTTTCCTAAGAATGCTGATGGCTGCGTGAAAGAAGCAGTCTGACTTGTTTGCCCTACTGGTCTTTGAGACACCTAAGGGGCAGATACCTTACCTAGGACCTACAAGAATCCAGTGACTTAAGAGTGCACTAAATAGGGCGCCTGGGTGGCTCAGTTGGTTAAGCGACTGCCTTCGGCTCAGGTCATGATCCTGGAGTCCCGGGATCGAGTCCCACATCGGGCTCCCTGCTCAGCAGGGAGTCTGCTTCTCCCTCTGACCCTCTTCCCTCTCGTGCTCTCTATCTCTCATTCTCTCTCTCTCAAATAAATAAATAAATAAATCTTTAAAAAAAAAAGAGTGCACTAAATATAGATAGGAATAAGCTGAAATCTGTTTTCCACTAGAAGTAGATCCCCTGTACCTCTGAGACTTAATGGAACTGAACGCATCAAAAGTGCAGCTTTCTGAATGTTTCTAGTAGCAGATGCCCGTCCATGTGCCCGTTGGGGGAGCACATGCCCCCATAGGTCAAATTCCATTTTAACCTATGCCAGTGGAAATGTCAGTGTAACCAAATATTTCTAAAATCTCAGTAAAGTCACATTACTATTACTAGGATTAATTATGAATAATATTTTAATAATATGTTAATGTTACTTTAATAATATTACTTTAAATAACTTAATTTTACTTTAATACTATAATAATTTGATAATATTGAAGAACTAATATAATAAAATGCTAGTACAGTCAGGAAAATAGGATAACCTCTTGGAATTGATTGGAATGGGAGATGACCTCTATGCTACTGTCAGTAGGTTGGATTTTACTCAATCTATTAGGGATAGAAAGAGTGAAGGATAACAGTTTGCAGTGTAGATAGAGATGAGAGACAGTACAATTATAATAAGTCCTAGATAAAGAGTAAAAAAAAAAATCCTGTTCCATTCAAAGGTTCCCACTAACATCCATTTGCAGAGTGTCTCTTTTGAGTATGGTGCCCTCCCAGGGATAGTAGAGGAAAAGACAAAAAGAGAGCCCATACCAAAAGTCCATTATTTAAAAGTCAATTCAGTTGTTCTAAAACTGCTTTCCATTTTACGAATAATTGTATATTATTAAAAGCCAAAATAATGTTTTCTCCTTTTCTCTAATAGATGCTGTGAGAGAAGTAAGGAAATATTCCTCTACACCTGCCATTGAAAAAGGCTTAACTAGCAGACCTGGAGCCTATGAACATGTGCAGATGAAACTTTTTAGGTCTCAAAGAAATCTTTACATTTCTGGATTTTCATTATTTTTTTGGCTGTAAGTTTTAAAAAAACACAATTTTAAAGCATGATTTATGTTTCTTTTCCTCCTTTTTCCTATCTATACTATAGAATGCAGATGAAATACCCAAATGATAGTCATTACGGCTTGTAGGTTTGCTAGGTCCATAAGGCCCTGCATGATCTGGCCTTACTTCTCCCTGGAGCCTTGTCTCCTACTGTTGTCTGACATTCATTCACACCGTACTGAGCTTCATCTGCTCATGCATTCGTTCTTGCAACAAATATCGAGTTCCTATTGTGTACCTGACTCCTTCCTACTTCAGGGTCTTCACACCTGCTTTAACCTCTGCCAGAACACTCCCCTCTTTCCCGGGCTAACTTTCTATTCATCCTTCAGCCCCTTTCACAGAGAATTCGTTTATGACCATCACTCCCCCCAGAAGTAGGTGGTTGGTCTCTGTTATATGCTTCCATGAAGTGTATCTATATATGTATATTTTTTGAGTATCATTCATGGTTGCAAGTAAATACTCTTTTAACTCTTTCCTCCCCAACTAGAACATAAATTCCCTGAAGGACTTTGTCTCATTTCCTGCCGTGTCCCCAGTACCCAGCACAGTGTTTAGCAGTTCCAAACACTTGGCAGAGGAAATACCTGTTGAATGAATATTTGAAGATACTAATTTCTGTTTCTAACAATGGAAGTTACCCATAAACCGATGTGAATGAGCAGTTTTTAGGCTTGGCCAGCTTCACACAATGCTCTTTAAATAGCAAATACCGAGGTGGGGGCGGGTAATCAAAGAACAAAAACAACTTCTTTTAGTCGCCCTGCCACACTGTGAAATTGTTTCTCCTCCTCCTGGCCAAAGGCCTCTAGAAAGAGGATAATTAAATTAACAAGTACTGCTGAACCTGTCTTCCAAATGCTAGTCTTGCAGCAAAGATTCCAAAGGAGCAAGATACAAGCTTTTTTTGACAGAAAGACTTAGATTTAAAAAAAAAAAAGGAAAGAAACAAACAAGCGTATGTCCTCCCTAAACATTATCTCCCTCCACCATACCCATACCTAAAGGGGAATCATTTGACAGTGACTGTTTACCTTAAATCAGTTTCTAATGATTAGTTATACAGTACTTTGATGTTTTTGTTTAGAGTGTTGAGACGTCTGGTTATCCTTATTACTCACCTGGCTAAAGAACTGTCGAACAAAGGAGTACTTAAAACTCAAGCAGAAAATACTAATGAGGCTGCCAAAAAATTCATGGAAGAGAATGAAAGACTAAAACGGGTATTTAAATTTGCTTTTTAAAAATGTGTGTAAATGTTCTTGGTTTTCCCCGAGGTGTATTATTTTTCAGTATCAAAAAGAGCATTTTTGTAATTTGTAAGCAAAAAGCAACCATAAGTAGCAGTAGTGTTCTATGAAATGATTGTTTCAAAGTGTCTTATTCTCCTTTAGATTTGTTTGTTCTCAGTTTCCTCCATAGTAGAATGCCAGTGAACCTATTTTAATGCCATTGAACCTATTTCCTATGATTAAAAGAAAAAACAGTGTTCTGGTAATATGGATTTTAATTCCTTCATTACCATTAATTTTACTTTATAACTAAAGCAAATCTTTATAAGTCTCTATGTTTCCATTTTCTTTTCAGTTAAATTATTTTTTAAATAATTTTTAAGGCTGATTTTTTTTGTTTTTCTTTTAAGTGTTCATTAATGTAGGGAGCAGAGGAAAGTAGTTAATGCTAGACTGATGACTGCACATAATGTTTAAAAATCTTTAATTTGGCCACGTTGCTGATACTCCTTTGAGAAACCTATGCTGTAATTCCTCTACCATTCAGGCAGAGTGTGTATTAGGAACTGATGTTTTCCCTATCAAATAAAAAGAACAAATGAGAAAATGATAGCTATAAAATTATTTTTTTCTTAAGTATAAAATTTAGGAATAAGATGTCATAGCTTGAGTGTTTGCTGTTCATATTAAGTCCCATAAGTTTTGCTAATTCTACTTCTTAGAAGAAAGTGTCAGTGGAACCATTCAGAAGTGAAACAAATTTTCTTAAAAAAAAAAAGCGCTCCTAAAATAGTAAAATAAAATGATTTTCCTATTCTAAATTAATGAATTGCAAATAGTCAGTTACGTATTACCCCGTTATATTTATGTAAAAAGTATTGAGTTTAGTAGTAGAGAATTAAAATACTTATCTTAGTCCTAGAGCCTAGCTTCTTATAGAAAGAACTATAAGTACCGCCCTTTTTCTAGATGAGTTAGTCAATACATAATACAATAGAAGGTTTTCCAGAACCTATTAAATAAGGCAGACCTCACTGCAAAAAAAATTGTGTTTGATGCTATAGTATAATGGTCACCTATTATATATATATATTATATATAAAACCCATGTTTTATTTCTAATGATGTCTGCCTTATTTTTCCACTACAGCAAAAAGGTAAAGAAATACCTTTTCTCATATAAAACAGCATTCAAAAATGTTTGGGGGTATTGTAACCAGCATCTTTTAAGGAAACTTTTAGAGAATAGCATCACTTTATTTTTTACTTTGTTCTGTTTTGAAAAGGCATTGATCCATAGATGTCATGTAAATTTCCCTTTGTAGTAAATATAGTTCTGGGAAATCTTGTGGTATTTCTGTATTCAAAAGCAGGCAATAAGTCATATCTGCTTTTTTGGCATGTTTCAGCAGCAAAATGGGCCTCATTTTGTACCTCAGTATTACTTGTTTCATTTCCTATCCTTTGATCTTATTTCAAAATGGTAAAAGTAAAAACAAAACCCTCAAAGCTTTAATATATGATGGCTAAACTCAAAAGCACCCAGCGTTGTATTTGTAAACTTACTATGTACCTATCTTGATTTAAAATTATGCCCATCATGTTAGAGTAATCAGTTCTAATTACTAACAGAACACTGCTTTCTTCCTCTTATTCTTTAGTTGTTTTCCTTTTACGCATCAGCTTTAAGAAAATGGAAAGTGTTTTTGTAAAGTTTTGGTACTCACTCTTACTTTTCTCATATACACCATAATTAACATACTTAAATTAGTCTTGTCCTTCAAAAAAAGCATCTTCCTCAAAACGTTTTTGGAATTTTCTTTTAGTATTATTTTCACAACAAGTTACCCTTGCAAGGAAATTTATTTAATGTCTACTGATTCTTTGATTCCTCCACAATTTCTCTACTTTTTTTTTTTTTTTTTGGTTTGTTTTCCTCCCCTTTGATACCATGCTGTCCTGGTTCACTGCTTCCTGTATTGGAAGGACCCAGTCATTGGCCTCAGATCATCAGAGACACGTAAATATGCTGAGCTAAAGCTAGCACACAGTAAGGAGAAAGTTTGTGAGCTGCACATTAATATTGTCAGTGCCCAAAGTGTAACTAATTAACCAAGAAAAGCCAGAGGTCAGAATATCAAAGATCACTTCTGTTTTGAGATATTTCATGTAGATTTTGAAATATTAGCTAAAGAAAGATAAAATTGCTGAAACAACTCTTTATTCTCTATCAGAGACACCTTATCTAATGGAAAGCACATTTACTGTGAGATCCAAGAGACTTAGGTGTTAGTCCTAACTACCAGTAATTAGCATTGTGACCCGGGGCAAGTCACCTCACATGTTCTCAGGTCCAAGGTTATAAATATAGCTAACACTATGCCAGGTACTGCTTCAAATCCTTCACAGTAAGGTATTAGTTCTTCTTGCAACAACCCCATGAGGTTGGTACTATTATTATCTGTATTTTATATATGAGGAAATGGAAGCACAGAAAGGTTAAGTGACTTACACAAAACCATTCAACTAATTAATAATGACAGAACTAAGATTTGAATCCAAGCAGCCTGGCTCTAGAATCCACACTCTTAACCACACTGTTTTGTGCCCCTTGTATGCTGTCTTATAAAATGACTTGCAGATGGTTCCTGAGACCCCTTTCTGTTCCGATCCTCAGTTAATGAAATAATTATAAAAGACCAATTAACTTTTAATTTAACTGCTTTAAAATAACAACAGTGATGGAGCTTTACTTCTTACCAGTTTTTTTCCCAGCCACTCACCACGGTGGTATAAGGTGGGTGGGACAGGGAACACATGCATTATTGTAGCTAGTAGCTAGCTGTTGAATTTCAGTTCCAGGGCTCTTGGTTGTTCTCCAGCGTCAAGTCATACATAATAAATTTGGACAAGTTTGCAGGTGCAATAATGAAAGCTTATTTAGAAGACCAACACAAACCCAACTTTTCCAAGTCAATGGCATAATAATTTAAGCAGTCAGTATAAACATTCCTGCAACTCAGTGGTTCTCTTCCAATTTGGGTAATCACCGGAGACTGTGTGAACTGAATTCAGTGAAGTAACAGCTAGGATTATTTTGAACTTGAAGCGGGCAACAAAACAAAGATTTGGAAAAAATCTTGCTTCTTTCTGCTCTTTAAAACATTTTTTTTAAATTTTGAAGATAGGAGACTCCTTCAGCTTAAGTATGTACTTTAGTGTTTGTCTCCTAAAAAACTTGGGGTCATATATTCATTAGAGCTTTAATTCCTCCTTCTGAGCTGCTTAAACTCGATTATAACACGATAGTACTGTATTTGATCTTATGCTACAGTTTTTATGCTCTTGTCTTATCCTTTCCACTAGATTAAAGTTACATGAGAGTAGAGAGCATGTTTCTCTTACATTTTTATCCCTTATATCACCTAATTGTAAAAATTGTAGTCTATTTGCATGTAGCCCATGCTCAGTAGAACTTTGTGAATTTTGTTTATTGGATATACCAGCTTACATTAGAAAAGGAATTACCCTGCAATAGAAATTCTTTTCTGCCACTTTGTTTAAAATTGGCCTGAGCTGCTTTTTTTACCTGACTGTGGAAACTGTCAATATCAAGTTGCTGCAACTTTTATTTACTCAAATAACCCATGCCAGTGTATACATATTTTTCAAACATTAATTTGCCTTTCTTGGTAACTTAAATATCTTAAAATTTCTCTAAGATAAGTAAGCTTCTTAATTCTATTAACAATGGTAGTTTCCTTTTAGACATACAGATTATGAAATTTTTACTCCATGATATTTTTATTTTAGTCAAATATTTTAGTATTCCGATCTTAATTTTTCTTGCCTAGAAAAGACGATCTGCAGAGACACCTGGGTGGCTCAGTTAGTTAAGCGTCTGCCTTTGGCTCAGGTCATGATCCCAGGGTCCTGGCATGGAGTCCTTCATTGGGCTCCTTGCTCATCGGGGAGCCTGCTTCTCCCTCTGCCTGCCGTTCCCCCTGCTTGTGCTCTCTCTCTCTGACAAATAAATAAAATCTTAAAAAAAAAAAACAGAAAGAAAAGATAGACAAACATACAAAAAACATTTTAAAAGCCCGCATAGATTTTAAAATATAAAAAACATTGTAAAAGATTAACTGAATAGAGTAATTTGGGGACTATTCAATGACTATTCAGAATTAGGTAGAATTTTCCAAGCATAGAGATGGCGCTATCATTTTACACTTACCCATCCCCACCCTGACATTATATTCCTTTTTTACACATTGGTCTGTGTAAAAATAGTCTGAGTAGACAGCTCTGTAATTGGAACATAATGGTTTACCAATTAATATCATCCTCAGAACCGTTTTTTTCCTTAGATTTACATCACACACTTAATGGAGGCATTCATATTACTTACCTAAATACTTTTCCAAAACATAATTTTAATTATAGCCCAACCAGAAACTCTAATTTTCATTTCAGAGATTTCAGCCTTAGTAAGAAGAAATCTTTTTGTTTTTCAAATATCAAGTTTCTATCAGCAAAAGTACATTGTAGAAAATTATAAAATACTAAAAGGACAAAGAATCAAATAAAGACCCAATAATTTTAAATATGTTATTCAGCCTATTTCCTGAAATAATACGTGGTTGTTGCAGTCTAAGCTTACTTCTTTCCATAACTTTCTTTTCTGATAGCTCTTGAAAAGCTATGCCAAGGAAGAGGAACACATTTTGGAAGCAGAAAATAAAAAACTAGTAGAAGACCAGGAAAAACTGAAAACTGAATTAAAGAAGACTTCAGATGGTAACTTTGTGTGCATGTGCGGAAGTAGAAAGTGTAGCATGATATTTTATGCGGTTACACTTCACTGTTTTCCCTAAAACAAAACTAATGGCTCAGTGTTCTTCTGGCTAAAATACCAAGAGTGACGTGACCTATTTATAAATTCCTGCTCAAATATGAAGATAAAACATGGTTTTGGCCAAGAGAAACATGCTCTGTTATACAGAAAAACATGTAGGTGTTTCAGATCTGTGTTGTAAATACAGATGTTCCTGCCTTAGCACAAGAGCTATGTTCCTGAAAAGTTGCTTGTAAACACAGTTTTGGAAAATGAATCACATTTTTCCATCATAGTATATTTCTTCTTTGAAAGAAGCAATCACAGGGGGACAGTTTTTGTTACAGGAAAATATATTGCTTATCTCAAACCCTAATATTTCCTACCTGCCAGATATAAGGAAAGCATTCCCTGAAAAGAAATGGATAGTGTAGAGTAAGCAACAATCTGGGATTGTTGACAATTTGAATGACTTATTCTAAAATACCTTGCGATCAGGACTTGGGAAGGCAGCTATTTCTTCTATGATTTTTTGTTTCTTAATAATTCTGATAGCATTTTCTTCTTCGTCAAAGAAAAAATTGTTATTGCCTATAGCCACATAACACAGAAAAGTAGGTACCCCAAGTCCAGTGTCATTCCAGGAAACTCTGAGTAAAAATCTGTGGCTTGACCCCTGGGCAACATCCTTACATATAACAGATATTCCTTGATGTTGTCCAGACAGTGGCAGACCTCTCAGCCTGCCAGAGTTAAGATAATGATCAATGCATAGACCTTCTCCGATTTCAAATCTCTTCCACTACTTTATGTTGGAGGTAAATTGAAGAATGTTCAGTGACTGAATCAAGGACCTACTTTAGACCATTTGTAAGTTTATATTTTTTTAAATAGATCTCGGCTTAAAAGTTTTTTATACTACAACTTGCTTTATTGATTATCTATTTACAATATTTGGGTAGAGTTTACTTCATCAAGATGTATTTGAATTGATATGGAAAGCCCAAAGACAAAAGCCGATTCTGTAAAAACAGAACAAAAATCCATAGGATGTTTCATATGATATAAAATTCTTTAATTGCTTTCCTACTTCTTATTTAAAGTGAAAAAAAAAAAGATTAGAGGCAGTAAGTTAAAACATAAGTTACTCTTCTAGACAAGATAGGTATTATGTAGTTGGTGTAGTATAGCCCAAAATTCATTGTTGATACTGTTGCCTCTTCTGTTGTTACAAAAGATTTGGAACATGATCAAGTTTTAACAGGATCAAGAAGTTTTAACACTTATATGAAAATAAATTTAGTAATCACCCACCCTCTACATTAGACATTTAAGAAGAGAAGCAGTGTTGTTGTTTTTTTTTTACCCAACATAAAATATTGCTGCTAATCCTTTTGAAGAATGCAAGGGACTATTTCCAAAATACCTTTAATTAGTATAAAAAAAATTGTTTCAAAATCTTGCTTTTTTTTTATACCTGCCATGGCGTGGATCCCTCTCTTAATGTAAGAAGGGTGGTACAAAATAAAAGACAACAGGTTGTTTGCCACACTACACCTATCTTAACTTTAGGCAGTTTAGTTTCTTTTTCCTTTGCCTTTCAAAAATCCCAACTTTAAGATATTTGGAGCTTTGACTTTATAAGGCTGAAATATAACTCTAAGCCTAATATTATTTTAGAGTAATATAAAGAAACTGTATATTTCTTTAACAGATAATTGAGATGTTTGGAGTAGATGAACTCTTTGATAATATAGACATTGTGTTTATAATCTGATAGCAAGAGATACCAGCTTCTGTGTTTAAAGTGTAGACTACAAACCTAATTTCAGAGTGAATCAGTGTTGAGGTAAAAGCAGATTTTACCTGTTTGAGTATGTCCTGTTAGGTTTCTGCAAGATGTGTAATATTTTATGAACACATTGTATGTACCCAAAATTATTATTTCACATAACAGTATTAATGACCTTGAGAAGATCAAAGTTCTTTTCTAAAGGAGATATATCTTTGGCTATGTTCTCTTGATATATTCCAGTCAAGTTCATTAAGACAAGAACTAAGAAATTACATCAATTAAAAGTGCAAGAGATTCAGATGAATTCAGTAGCACAGTGGTTGGTACCTATTACCGTTCCAAAATCATCATTGATTTCTCAACATTGAGGATATTAAGGCTGACAGTGCTTAAGAAATGTTTCAGAAAGTTGTTTTATATTTGAAAATTGAGTAGAAAAGCAGTGTGATTTGTCTCTTAATGGAGGCAAATAGAGTATTTCAATATGAATTTTCTTACTCTTGGTGTTTATTTAATCTAAGTGAAACATTTTCTCCAAAGTATACTAATGGAGATAAAGCATAAGTACAAATGTTTATTTAATCTGGTTAGCCTCAAATTAGAAAAGCGGTGTTCTGAATACAGGTATTAAGAATACTCTATTAGTAGTGCCAAACACTCCATCAGTTTTTAATCACCAGCTCAGATTTGGACCAGAGTTAGTAAATTGTCTGTGCTTCAGTGCAGTAATATGACCCTAGTGATCCAAAAGAGAGCATGCATGTCCCAAAGCACCTAATTTATAGTCAGGACTAACTTAGTCAGGTGTAAGGACCTGATCTGTCATTTTTAATGATCTGTTTAACAATAACTCTGATACCCCACTATGTGGAGTAATTGGGAAAGGGCACCGCCATGAAAAATGAGAACATAGCTTTGAAGAATTTACAAAGTTCACATAATAATAATAAAAAAGCTTAGAAACTTTCACAATAAAAATAGATCTTGTATACAGTGGAAAACCTTATGGATGTCCAAGGAGATTGACTTCCAAGGAGTCTCCCAGGATAGCTCCTGGTTTTTATTCTTACAAATAAATACCTTCTTGGCATTTATGCTTATAAATAAGTACCTTCTCAGTATATATTAACTAGAGAAAACATACCATTCAGTCATTGCCTGCATTCACACAATGGTAAAAGTAGATACAGTTTTAAAAGTGAGGGCGCCCAGCTGGCTCAGCTGGAAGAGCATGGGACTCTTGATCTCAGGCTCATGAGTTCGAGCCTGATGTGGAGTGTAGAGATTTCTTAAATAAAACAAAACAAAAACGTTTTTAATAAAAATTTAAAAAAAATAAAAGTGATTGAGTTTTGGGGCACCTGGCTGGCTCAGTCAGTAAAGCATGGGACTCTTGATCTCAGGGTCATGAGTTCAAGCCCCACATTGGGCATAGAGCTTACTTAAAAAAAGAAAAAAGTGATTTTCATGTGGAAATTTCTCCTCCTACTCCTTTATGAGCTGGAATGTATTCATAACATGCTACATCTTAAAAGGAGTTCTCAGAGCTGCCAGTCATATGGTGGAGGTTGAGTAGTAGCCTACTCTTTCTCCTACATAAAGGGAAAAGAAGAAGAAAAGACAAAAAAGTGATTGAGGCAAATTCCTTGATCCTGGCTTTATCCTCCCTCCATCCCTCCCTCTTTCCTTCCTTCCTCTTTCGTTCCATCAGCAATTTTTTAAAGAACTTTTCAAATTATTTATTGTAAGATCTTTTAACATGGAGCATAATGAAAATAAGACATAAGCTTCTTATACAGATTTAAAACTGAGGGATGGGGTGCCTGGTGGTTCAGCTGGTTGAGTGTCCAGCTCTTCATCTCCGCAGGGGTCTTGATCTCGGGGTCGTGACTTCAGGCTCCACGCTGAGCTCCACACTGGGCATGGAGCCTACTTAAAAAAAAAAAAAGAAAGAAAAATAAATAAATAAATAAAACTGAGGGCTTTCCAATTCCTTGCAAATGAGGTATTTGAGCCATCTATTTATCTAAAAATAAATTCTCAAAGTCTAACAAGCATGTTTTACAGTTCAGAAGTTTTGTGAGCATGAACTACCTTTAATTTGTAGCTATATCAAAGCCATCACCTTATTTTAAAGTTGTTAATAGTTAAAAAAATGTGTTAGTTTTGGTCACAGTTTTTGCTTTATTTCCTTTTAATGAGCTTTTATAATTTGAATAAGAAATTCAGATTTTTTTCTCCTCTGTTTATATATCTGGAAGTTTCTGCCTCTGCCATCTCCTTGCCTTCTTTTAATAACTGAAGAAAAGTCCATATTAAAAAATAATAGTACAGTTTATTTGATGGATGTGATAATAGGCATTATGTAATTAATAGTATACTAATTAAGCAAAAAAAAATTGAACCAAACTATTAATAGCAGTTGTCTTTGGCATGTACAAAGAATTTATTATTTTCTGGAGTTGAAATTATTTTCTGTAATGAATTTCTTTTACGCATACAGTGAAAAGGATAAAAAAACAAACTCTCTCCCAAATATCCAGGTAATCTAAGGCATTCGTTTTTTGGGCTTGAATTACCTAATTGATTGAGTCTGTTCCCATCTTTACTTTGAGAGTAGATACTACATAGTAGAAGTTGTTTAACCATTGCTAAGTGACATGGATCATCTTGCAAAATCTGAAAACATACTGGGTCATTCTAGTCAAGTCACTGAACCTTTTTTAGGGCTCAGTTTTCTGTAAAGTGAAGGAATAGGCTAGTTAACCTTTAATGTCTATGTATCTCCAAATAATACAATTTAGCAAAAGTGACCATCGAGAACTATTTTTACTGTGGCTTTTTGACCCTTAAAATTGCATTTATTTTTCATGAGAGAAAATTTTCACCGTAAGTTACCTTTCTTCCAAACTGAAGTTCAGCAGGTGGTTAATTAAGCCATATTCCTCACAGGAGAAAAATGTTTCACATAGGCTTAGAATCATTAGGACAGGGCCTGGCATGTTTTATCTACTTATTAGCTCATAGCTCAAGTGTGTTATATGGAATGGGGCTACAAATCTTAACTCTCTTGGGTGACACATAACCATTTCTCACTAGGTTATAGTGTGGTTGTTTGTTTAGAACAACTATTGAAATACTGATATGGAATAATATAATTGCAGGAGA